CACACACACACACACACACACATACACACACACACACACACACACACACACACACACACACACACACACACACACACACACACACACACACACATACACCTAGATCTGCGGATTTTTCCCTGTTCAGTATTTTTTTTTTAAGTTCGGTTTGTTCAAACGTCCATGTGTCAATTCTGCTAATTGGTGTCAGAAATAGTTACGGTTCGAGTCGTTTGCCAAAGTTGTAAAATATTCAGTAAGTATGTACACAGCGACTATAACTCATATTAACGTAGCCAGTAAATCTGACTAGCCATGACAGATTCATCATACGAAGAGTGATTTAAGAGCCGCATATCAACCAAATTAATGTTACAGCTTACCGACAAAGCCATCAAATTTTTACCGGCCCACTTCTCGATTTTCTGTTTGTTCGGACAAAATGCAGAGACTTTTCTTTGTCGTGCAGCTGGGGTGATTTCAATGTTAGCACATGTCAGTCGTTTCCCATGTGCAATTATTAAAATAAACGGTTTGTTCGGTACTTCTAATCTCTATCCACCCAGAATTTGCGCTATATTGTTTTTAATTTATTCTCAAACGGCTTATTCCCGTCTGGATCAAGAGACACGCAAATTATGAGACAGAATGACAATGTATTTCAAATGTATTGATACTTGGTATCCCGAAAGTTTGATAACACAGAATCAATTTGGTAAGGATCAATCTGCTCGACAATCTGCGCTTTTAATTAAATCAGGATGTGCTTTAACACCCGTTCCAATACTAGTACTAAAAACACCCGTCCCATTCCACTCGGTCAAACACCCACTAGGTAAATAAAAGGTACCACTGCGTCCCAAACAACAGCCGTTTAAAACATGATGCCTGCTTGTCTGTCTCACTAACACCCGCTTCATTTTCCCCCTCCGCGGCTCGTACACCTGTCAAGGTGCATTACAATGTCGCATAAAATATTCACTGTAGCAGAGCTTTCACCATAAAGGTGCTACGTTTTATTTATGACTGGACACAAATATTCCAGGCCATATAGTTTGTTTGACGGAATCTACGGTTTTATACTATCTATAATTTGGTGAACTGTTCAGGAAATGTGTGACTTCTATAAGTCTATGCCATCACATGAGAGGGGTATACAATTAAATAAATCGTGTTTTGAAATAGATCATATCCTAGGGTCCGTCAAATGTGAAACTCGTACAGACACTGTTCGTTGTCGAATGGGAGACTCGTACAGACATTGTTCGAACAGGGGATGGTCCGTCAAATGAGAAAACGACGGGAAATGAGAGATTCGCACAAAAATTCTTCAAACAAGGGGGTCCGTCAACTGCTAGAATCGCACGGAAATTGTTTAAACGGGTGAAGAGGGTCCGTCAAAAGTTGGATTCGCACAGAATTTGTATAAACAAGGGGAAGAGAGTCCTGCGAATGCGAGATTCGTAAAAATATACATGTAGTTCGAACGAGGGGGTATAGTTTATCGAATCAGAGAATAGAACAAATGTTGTTTGAGCGAGAAGACGAGAGACCGTCAAAATGCGATATTCGCACAGAAATTGCTCGAACGAGTGAAAGGGTTCCGGTAAATGCTAATCAGTCTTGAACGGAAATTGTTTGAACAAGGGAGGGAGACCATCAACGAAGAAAATCACACAGAATGTTGTTAAATGACGGAATGAAGGTCCGTCAAACGGGAGAATAGAGCGGAATTTGTTTATTACACGAGGAAAAGAGGCTCCGTCAAAAGTTGAACTCGTACAGATATTTTTTAAACGAATGTGGGACGTCAAAATATGTTTCCATCCCGGCATGTTACAGACGAGAGATGGTGCAGTTTTAAAACCATGGAATCACAATGGTAAATTAAACAGTAATCAGTTAATGCATCATGACAATACCGTAGTTTTAAAGTTTGCTTTATCTCAATCATATTTTGACATTACAAAACAAAATATATATAAATTATTATAAACATATAACTGATTTGAAGTACTCGTGTCGAAAATACCTTTCAACAATTAAAAATGTAATTGTGTCTCTGGATAATATCGGAATATGTGTTTTCTTAAAATGTGAAAAATAAAAAAAAACCTTGATCCCAAGGAATAAAATCTACGGAAATAATCGATCAGTTTAAGTTACAGAGAAAATGATCAGCCATGCAAATTATAGTGTGAGGTAAAACGAAGTTGCAACTATTGAAGTCTGTCTGTTTTTTTGTTGTTGTGTGTGTGTCTGAATACATAAAATGTCAAATAAACACGGAGGTACTATATACGAAAAAAAATAATATAAAATTGAAATATTCGTGATGTAACCAGCTAAAGAGCCGAGGTAGTTGCGTCGGCGGCTTTGCACTTCACAGTGGCGAGCGTCGAACCACTAGAGATAACCGGTAAACCGCCTACATTGCCATTATAAATATGTGATCAATGAATTAGAATCGGCTGCATTGCAGTTTTGTCGATCGTCAATATAACATTCTGTTAGTATTTTTGTGAACAAATCAGGTATAAATAACATACACAAAAATCACCAGAATGCCGTCACAAGCAGCAGTGTTTTTGGGGACCTGCGTGAATAATTCAATTAAAGCAGGGTATACAAACACGCGGCGGGCAAGAGACAATTTCAATTGCTCACTGAAAATTACTGAACAGAGTGTGTAAATTACAGCGTAGTCTTAATTTAGTTATCACATATCGGCTCGGGCATCTGTAGGAGCGGATTTACTAATGAGCTAAATGAATTAAAGCACACTACACGCCGCTCGATATCAGTGGCAACACCGCCTTGGCAACAACGCCTTATATGTTCAATACATACACGCGGTTAATATATACTCTGAACACGCTGATTTTCGAAAATACAATAATTTATAACAAAAAGTCTATCACATAAAATACACAATAGACATTTCATTTAAAAATAAAAGAAAGCTGGTATGATACTATTATAATAGAATTCAGTGTGATGCCACAAATTTATTTTGAATGATCGAAGGGACTTGGGCTTCGGCAAATTTAAGATTACATAATTACTGGTTCTGTCCCAAAGTAAGCGTTTTCGGCGTTGGCCATTGCCATCACAATTCAAACACTACTAGTGGTAATGCTCGGCCGTTGAAAACAAAATAATTGAAATGAAAAAATAAGCCTCTCTTCAGAAAATATGACTACAATAAGATAATTCTGTATTATTACTATTATTAAATTTCGCATTCATAACAAGATAACGTTAAATAAAATTGCTGTTATGTTCGACTTTTACAGAGTGTAATATACACATGTCGAGTGGGTTTTCAAAATGACTGACGGACAACAAGAATACAATAATTCGTAACTTAAGCACTGACCAGAACTTGATATCAAATTAAGGCGATTGGAGAAAAACGGAGTGTTCGTGTTAAAAAATTGTGCTCATCTTTTCTTCAACAAATATTATTCATACTAAAATGTTGGACATACGTAAACATACAGCTAGCTAAAATGACCAGTGTAATAGCAATACGATAGAAAGGTACTCACTATTTCGCAGATAATGGAAACAGTTGAACCATCTAGTCACAAGTAGACGATGTAATGAAAAGTGTACGGGAGTTACTGTATTAAATGGTTTCCATGGGTAGTAAAACTATACTTGTGATAAAATAAATTGCCGGGAAGCAATGATGGAGGTGGAGCTTGTGACCAATAAAGGAACGCGTTAATGGGAATTAATTCCGCCATAAATGTAGAAAAGTCATTATGATTACGATTCACCAAGGGCACCGAAATGGTGATGGTTTTAACGATTGGGGTATGTCAGGGGTTGTCATCCAAAAGGGAGTGTCGCCTTGTCTTTCGGAAAAAATAGTGGTAAGGTAATTTGTTATATTAAATTGTACATATAAATGAGGACATTGTAGTAAAGAAAAATAGCATCCATTTTATTTCTTTAAAGATGCCAAGTTCGATGGTTGTGATTGCTTATTTTTGTTTTCGTTATTTGTGTGTTCGGTAATTTTCAGCATTTGTATTTATATCAATGTGCGTACACACCAGGCTGTGCTATGAACAGAAGCTCGGCAATATACGCAGCAAATTCAATACTTGTTTGTATTGTATAGCATTGCTAGGACTTAGGCTGTAAACCACATGTAATGTTACATGGTTGTGCTATATTTTATACAACAATATTTATTTATTACAGTCTATTTAAGTCCATTTCTACAGTTATCGTTGATTGTCGGAAGTTGAACTCGTCTTCTGCTTCGTGGTAATTTCTTGTTTTACTATATGCGGATGGTTTGGCTGAATAATTGTTGTGGTCAACGCCGTCGGTTCTGTTGATGTTGTTGTTGGTGTGCTTTGGCGTCGTTGCAGTTGTGGCTGTTGTCGTTGGTGGTGATGTTGTTGTTGTTGTTCTTGTTGTTGTTGATGCTGCTGGTGTGTTTGAGGCTGTAGTTGATGGTGATGTATAATAGGCTCAAGCTGATTTATGTGTGTTTGTTGTTGTTGTTGCGGTGGTGGTGGTTGATGTTGTTGTTGTTGTTGTTGTTGCTGCGGATGTTGTTGTTGTTGTTGCTGCTGCTGCTGTATTGGCGGTTGTTGTTGATGTCCTTGGGCCATGACCTTTTTTTTGTTCTGTTTTCGTTCTTTGGCACGTCTGTTCTGAAACCATATTTTGACTTGTCTTTCCGATAGTCCCAGTGCGTGCGCGAGCTCAGCTTTACGGCGTATGGTGATGTATCGACTGTAATGGAATTCTTTCTCTAGCTCCAGTCTCTGGTGGTCGGTGTACACGACTCGGTATTTGTCTTTAGTGCGAGTTTTACCTGCAAATAAAAAGGACACCACTATTCTTTACTATATTCACCTATATTGGGTGGGTTTTTATTCATTATAACGAACGTAATCTGTTACACAGTATAAACGACTTTCTCGCATATTTAGTCTGAGACGTTTGTTTGAATGGTATGTCTTATCTCCAGTATATTTTACCGTGTTATCCTTTACCCCTGCTTTCCCTGCAAATTTGAGCTTATAATAATAAGGCACTTATTACAAATTTAACTCGAATACGAATGGTGCTAACAACGCATTTATTTCATTGGTATTCGACCTATTTTTGGAAGAGAACGAATTTTAGATCGAAATAGCGGGAAAATAATAAAAGTTTAGTATTGTTATTTGAAAGATATTAGAAATAAAAACTCATTACGTGTGTAACTATCAATATAACTCGTGTATGTTCCTCAATTGATCTGACCATCGTAAAAGTTCAGAAGAAAGTTTTCTATTAAAAACACAACCACTACGAACACATCAATTCCAAATAGAATACATGAATCAAAGTCGTCTTCTATTCTCGCTGGTTTAACTCAAAGTTAAGTCGTCGCCGTTTGACATGAAACGACCTCTTTTACCACTAACAACTAACATCGGTGCTAACGTGAAAAGCCGGAGAATCAGAGACTTGTAATCATATCTACACGGCGAGAACCAGAAACACACACAACAGCGTTATCAATCATGGCAGAGTCACAAGACAGTGCACAACGGCATCAACAATACCCACACTCGCACCGGAGAATCTCGCTTCGCAATGGAGTCTGAATTTCCAGGGAGATAAATTTGAACACAACCGAGTTAAGGACAACCTTTTTCCAACAGAATATATTAAGGGGAAACGGCGTCTCTATTTGAGGGGTGCTAACTAGCCAATCCGGGAGATCGTAACACAAGTCTTCTCCGACTACATCTTGCGCCAAGGGTGTGGGACATTCTCCACGATAAGTTTGTGAGCACTATATCCTTGCTGGTTTTAAAGAAATCAAATTCTCAGTATATATTCCAAAATATTATTCTGAGCTTCCAAATACTTGATAATTATTGAATGTATTTCATACTATTGCATATTTATTATTATTTTTATTGTATTTATGACTCTTTGTAAAACAACATTTTGCTGACAGGATTCCAAATGAACTAACTCAATCTATCCATCGCAAGTTCACAATTTTTACGATATCTTTTCTATGATTGACTCGTTTCGGAAACACGTCATTTTAAAGTATAAGAAGATCATAATCCTAGAATCATATATATTTTCATAAACTCGTCAGTTACTTTTAATAATTGCCAAATAATGAATAAAATCTCCGAATTACTATGGATTATAAACAAAATATATCTAAAAGCACAAAACGAGCCACTGGTCTGGAAAGAATTTTTTGCGATAGATGTAGAACTCGGCATCAGCACGGAGGCCGGACGGCGAAATGTATTCGTTCATACGCGTCAGATATTAGCCAAATGAGAACGAAAAATATTTCAATTTTCGAACTAATAGCGCTCATTGGTAGATTCACTGACCTGTAAGCATACCACCATCCACAACTTGGGAGCCAGATATTAACTGAGAGACATCTCCTAGTAGCAAAGAACGAAAACATTACTACCCTCAGGCTCTACACACTATGACGGGTGGCATACAGGTGGATGGATGGCGGTTGAGGTGCTGAATTGCTACATAACAGTGACAATGGAGTGACTCATTTTAACTTTCCAAACAACTATTACCCAACAGCTAGACGACAAGATGACAACATTGATTTTAAAAGTTGAATTTTATAAGAAAAAAAATATGGGGGTGACTATACTGAGACAGAACAACACAAAACAATTGTGACAAAAACCAGTCTCCAGAAAATGAATTGAACAGACGTATTAATGGATGTGATAACCATTGCTAAAATGAAGACAGATTTATGTGTGAAGACTGTATACACAAATTGTATGAGTAAGTGTAGGGTGATCATATGTGAAAAAATAATTATTACAATACTGTTCATAAGTAGATGAATCTAACAATAATACGGTGTAAATCGAATATATGCTTTCCCAATCGGCGGTATTATGTCAAAGGATGTTGTAATTCCATGACACCAGGCCGTTTTAGTTATGCGGCTACATACTACGGTGAAATGGGGCCTTTCTTTACTACTGGTCTTACATAGCCGGTTGATATCATCCGCAAATTAATAGTTTTGGAGCAAAATGAGTATATACCACAGACTTTTTCAGTTAAGATTGGCTTTCCGTAATTTAATTTTTCAATGATATCGATCATCTCACGTCTTTGTTTTACGTTGGAGCACTGTTTTATTTTATGGTAGTTCAAAAAGTAGCGAGTAATTGTAGCATTTGGCAGTGAGGCAAAACATGCGGTGATGTGAATCTCTTGGGGAGTTGATTAGAGGAGCAGTGGGGATCTGTGTACAAATACATGTAGTGGTGGGCCTTGTCGGGCGAATAGCACATTCAGAACATAAACGGGTTAACGTTCTATAGTAAAATGAAATTTATATATATATATATTTATTTATCAGAATTAACTCGACTAAAGCAGTTGTTCAGAAATTTAAAACGGTCAGGTGTTATATGACTAATATTCATGTTGAAAATTGTTTTAAGCATCGGCGAAGTCGAAAAGTATTAACGAAATGTATCTTTTATATATAAAATGTATTATATATCAACCTTTGTTATATTAGTTATAAAAATAAGTTAACATTTTTCTTAAAGTCGTTGTTACATGTATATGTTTGTTTGTTTGTTAGGTTTATATTCGTATTTTGTATAATATTTGCGACATTCCATATATACGGAAAGAGTCTGGTATGGTTGATATGAAAGAGTCTGGTATGGTTGATATGAAAGAGTCTGGTATGGTTGATATGAAAGAGTCTGGTATGGTTGATATGAAAGAGAAAAGTAGTTGGCATTTATTTTAGTTTGGATTTCGCGTAGGTGTTTTTCCTAATACATACTGAATTGTGTTCACGTGTAATTGCGTACCTGAAATATATTAGTAATTTTGAATGAAGTTTCTTTTTACTCTAGAAATTATTCCAGTACTGTGAACGAGAAACTATACCTATAATTGAAATATACTTATCGACTGTGGTTTCTTTAACTCGTGTAGCTTTTAGTGGCATGATTTTAGTCGCAAGACTTTTTCGCTATCGGGCCAAAAATAAAAAATAAAAAAATTTACTAACGTCAGACACAGTTTCAACTGAATTTCGCTGTATTCTCATCTTGGAAATCATGAGCGACAACCCAGCCGCTACACTGAGAACTGCCGTGGATTGTTGTACAGACGTCTCGCCACGTGCTGACAATAAACCCTTTTCGCAGTCAAGCACACCTTTATAAGTCGAAGTCGTAAAATAGAAATTTACTTTTCTTTAATTTAATTGCTTTATTTAACGTCCATATAGCGAAGAAATCAGTGAAAGTCCCATTGTAAAAACTGTAGTAGTTTATTACCCATTACAACGATAGTTGCGTTGCGTGTACATGTACTGTCAAGACGAGAGCTGTATGTAGTATTATGTTATTGTTGGACAGCCGGTTGACTCTTATGGTCTACGGTCTTAGTCATGAAAACGTATATTTTGCTCGTTATACTCAAATTTTGGAAACGTGTTTATGGCAGTACCTGCAGCCATTGCGCTGGTCAGCATAACACTACTATTGTTTTTCAAATTTCTATCGAACGCCATTTAGAAATTAATACGAGAAATGTTAAAAAAGCTCTATGCATCACTAACTACGATCACTACATGCATATTGTGTTGAAATAGCTAATACCATACGAATTGCCGTTATAGTGGTTTTCAATATTTAAAATATAAATATAGTATTTTTGTGGCGGATATTTTTTATTATACACAGCAGCCGTGAGTAGAGTTGGTACTGGTGTAAATCCGATTCAAATGTTGATTATGTAATCGGTTATGCCAAGTTTAGTAATTGTCGGCTTGTTTCAAACAGACTTAGTCGCGGTGTCGATTTCAAAGCCTTTATTCCGGGGCGTTCATCGGAACAATTTGATTGCCTAAGACAATGAGTGTTGAACAATTCTCTCTCATCGGCAACACTTCTAACATTACACAGTATATCGAATTAAACTTGTCGAATGTCCACGACTACGATAGAGTATACGAATTGAATGTTACTATATAACCAAAATCCAATTTAATAATAACAACAACAAACCAATAATTGACCCGGTGGTTTACCTTGGCTTATGTGAGTCATTTTATGTTGAAGGGAAACACGTAGACTTCGTACACGTGACAACTCACCGGAAGCTCCAGAGAGACTTCGTTTCCGTTGAAATCTCCACGTTTAAACGCAGAACTTTTTTAATTATGTGTCTTGTAAAATGTTGCATTTGTCAAAATCTTTGTGTGGGGTGTTTACATTCTACGAGTTATAACGTTTTACCGTATGTATCCGCTATCTGACTGCATCCCTGGGTGTGTTTAATGGCTCGAATTGTCGACCCCTAGCTCATTAAGAAGTTTATACTATAGTTAGGATTGCCCCCTACTAAAATCGCGGGATGAGAACGAAAAGTCACAATAAAACATCATTACATAGTTGTCGTCATCACAGTAATGACCGTAAAGACCTATGTAGAGGTCAGATCGTTTTATTTTAATTTAGTATTGGATTTTGAACTTACCGGTTTGTTGGTTCTTGTTGTACGTTGCCGGTCTCATCCATGCGTAAGGGTCCAGGCTGGTGTGAGGTGTGGATGACGCTGATCGCTGTTGACTAAGGTTGCTCATTACTGCCGAGGTCGGGGAAGCTACCGCCAATGGCTCTGAACATGTACTGCTGGGCGATGCTGTTCCATTAGTTGTGTAATCTCCTGATGTCGATGTAGCTGTCGTTAGATGAGCGGTGGTCGGTGTATTCGCCGCTGCGCTAAATGCCTGCCAGTCGCTGGGTGTCGCATACTGCCCAGTCCATGGCTGGGTGAAATTTTCTGCGTTGACCCCTGATAAAGAAAAATGCGTATAATCATTTGTATTTGGACTATACTGGTTAGTTTGCTGTCCGTAGTTGTAAGACGGGAACTGGTAGTTGGTGGTGACGCCAGGTCGGTACATGGTGGTGGCTGGTTCGTTGCAATATTCCAAGTAGTCGAGATACATGGTGTTTCAGTGTTCCAGCTCGATCAAATATGATGGCAATAATTCTTGCTGAGATATTGACGAGACACTATATACGAGTGGTGTATGCTCCTGATAGATAACTCTCTTTTGAAGTGATTGACGACTATTTATTTAAATTGTACCCGTGTCACTGTGACGTCATCGTTCATTCGCTTACTGGCCGCTGATTATGCAAATTGAATCACTTTTCCCCCCGGCCGTCCCACTTTTTTGTTGGCAAATCTCAAAGCAACGAATACACACGAATTGCTGGCAAGGTGTAGAACAGACAGCCATTCACACCATTCTCGCCTCAGCTCGTTAGGTTGTTAAAGACGCCGAACACATGGCGGTACTTTGAAGGCGTTGATATAGGGGTGAATTAGTCAATCGGTCTTTTTTTACGTTGATTGGATTAACTAAGCTGATAGATAATAGTGGAGATGTTTGATTTCACATTTTTTGACGAGGTGCGAATTATCCATCGCCAGGTTCAGTGATAGCCAATGAGAAGTGATAACCGCTAACTGGAAACGACTGTCACTGGCCTGTCTGGATCGAATTGTTAGACTCGCACTAGCGTAAACCTAAAAGTAGAAACTGCCTTGCTTAGAGACCAGATATATTTGTGTAGAGAAGGATAATAAACACAGTGCTGGTCTTATGAGAAGCAACCCCGACTGTTTTTGTCTTGGAGTGTAGCTTGCCAGTGTTTGTTTTTCAGATGACAACACAAAGGCATCAAAAAGAGCTGTGCTGTGCCGCTAAGATGCTATATCAGATTTCACGCGCAAACACAAATCAACTGATCATTTCCGTCTTAAACTATACAAAATAAACATAATTGCCAAGATAGTGATGTAATTGTTAAAACTATTTGTTAATAATTAAAACTGGATATGGCATAAATTCTAACGCGGGGTGGGGTGGAAGATTTCTTATATAGCTTCATACTGTTATGAACACTTGTGTTTTATTTTCGCCTGTGATGGGTCGTCGTTTGTGTGTTTAATTTCTAATGGCGTAATAATTGCCGTTATATGGCGCAAAATAAGTGTAATGGAGTATGCGATATACGATCTCATCAGCATCTATAATAAACGCCATAAAATTAGTATATGGTTCAACATTGATAGTTAGTGTTTTTTTCTTCTATTCACAAGTAGTCTATAAACTGTGAGTTGCTTTGCAATGAATTGTTAGGCTGTTTGCGTTAATTGCAGGTGACCGTGTGCCACTGTTTAACAACTTGAATATTACCGAGGATGACAACTTCGCGGGTTTCGCAACTTCGTGAGACGTCTAGCCCGTTGAGAAGCGAGGTGAATGTGTGCTAGACGACCCCTGGTAAGGATCTGTCTAACTTTCTGTATGTCTGATACCCCGAGGAGCTTGATGATAATAGAACGTACTGAAGGTGGCAAACGAAAGTTGTCTGGTTTCCCACCATGATTATTCATATCACGATATTTGGAATGGTTCGATATTTGATCGAAGAAAGGAAGTGTATTTCGTTTTTTGTTTGGGAGGACCGTTAACGCCTTCAAAAACATTTAAACATATAAACATATAAACCCTGCGGTTCCATGTGCAATATAAATAGTTAATTAGTAAGATAAAATACTATTCACAAAAATAGTGTAGTATCCATTTGTATCGACCGAAAAACAAAGATATTTTCGTGTCATTACAACCGTTTTGTTAACCGTTTTTGGGTGCTTCTTGGCAAATAGGTCGAATAAAACATCACCGGTGCATTTATAATTTTCTGTTTGTTTGTTTTTGTCTCTTTAAAAATGGTGACATCGTAGCATTCATCAATATATCTAAAACCACATGATTGTTTTCTCATAATCATGACACTTAGTGTAATTTTCAATAAGACCCCGACTAACAGGCAATATATTTCGTTAATTGTATACATGTATATTGTGTAAAGTAAGTGTCGGCAGAATCGTTCTATATATGCAGTGATATTCTGTTTACCGTACGATTAAATATTGTTTGTTTTTTGAAGACACTTTATGGCAACCGATGTGCATGTCGAACAAAGCCGACCAGGTGACCTATGTTGAGCTGGGAAATACGGATTATAACCGTGTGTGTGAGGCAGGAAAGCAGCGACCTGCGTACGCCTTGCTGTTGAATTATAAATCGTACTTGAATTATCTACACTTGTGGGTATTATGAAAACATGAAGCCGAGATTTGGAAAATTGCGTGGTGTGGTTTACTGCTAGCCGTCACAGAGGTGAGAATGACAATTTCTGCCCCCCCCCCATAAGGTGTAAATAACCTATACACAATCCTTCAACAGACGTGTGATTGCCAGGTTTCACTACCTCAGACATGTTTTGGGCGGGAAACCGATGGCAGACGACAAGCGAGAATATAGATGCCGCTATCAGTTTGGATCTACGTAAATCATTAATAAAGATATTTATCTGAATGTCAACACAGATATAGTGCTTCGACATGACAAGAATGTACTCAATCAATAGGACTCGCCTTTGTAGTAGCAATAAGCACTTCTGTACAACATGCAAACTACAAGCTAAAAGCAAACATGGCGGTCTCTCTGGCCGCGTACCTGGGTCAACGACGAGAGTGGTCACCAAACAGAGGGTCAGATAACCGACAGATTCGCAACGGGTCATGACGATTGAAATCATTTGATTATTTTCGTTAATTGATTTATGGGTGGAAGACGAGTGGGTCAAGTGCAGGCCCAATCGGAGAGTGTGCTCATCCTTTTGTTAAATGCAATACGTTTATGATTTCATTGTGTCATAATACGCATCATCCTTCTCATGTTCTTCATGGTTTCTAAACAGCCACACTTGGTATATAAACCCGTTGTTAAGGTGCAAAATCAAAACAACGGCGCGCCTTTCGGTGCTGTTTTATTGTGGTTCTGGCGGCTATACTGGCGGTTTGACGGTCGTCCATGGAAGAGGGGGTTGAGAGATATACAAAGGGCGCCGCAGCAAGGTTAATGATGATGATGATGCAGAGGAAATGTGAGATCGGTAAGAGCAACAACAAAACAAGGGAAGGAAATGTGACCCTCCTTCAACTCAACTACCGAGTGGGAAAAAGATTGATTTAGAGAATGTCTTGTTGTGTAATTAGTGTTATCTATCGTGTAGATGCCGATCTATTGGGTCTATTTTGGGCACCTTTATAATCACCACGTAAGATAGCGCCCTTGAGAGGGCAATACTAATGACTCACATAGTAAGTACGCTAACGTGCATGGCCTCTACTGACCGAGTACACAAATATTACCTTATTAAACAAAAATAATTAAAAAAATCCAATGATTTATTTTGTTTCTGGTTTTCAATTTCCGGCAAACACACATGGCTCTGGACTGCGGCTAAGGCTAATATAATGTGCTCTGTTAATATTCAATATTACTGATCCGATGGGAAAAGTTAGAAAAATCACGAATAACTGGTTGCCACGGGTAACGAATAAATAAATAATTTCTCATATAATTCCACTGAAGAGTCACGTCTGTTCCATGCTAACCACGACTAGCTGCAAAAGCATTTGGTGATAAGAAACTGGCTGTTTTGGCATTGTTCCAAATAACCTAAAATTAGACGTGCATTTTTTTTTTTTTGAAGATAGAGAGATAACCCAGTCGGGCTTCCAAACTTTTTTTTTCTTGTCAGGGCTATTTATTGGTTTTGAGGAATGTGCATAGATAATTGTTGTTCTCAAGGTGACACCGTGCACATCTATTTACCTCCCGCCGCTACCTGTATTTGCCCTTCGTCTGATAAAAAGTGCTACTGCAGTTTAGGGACGAGAAATTGACAGCGTGCTGTATGGTTGCCATGGCGAGTAAGAACGACCAGGCATGGAGGTAAAAAGAGACCCCATGGACCAGGTCTGCTCAACTTATCGCTTGCTTCGTTCTTTTTAATAATAATTCTATTGCAAATATATGTCCAATACATGAAACATGGATTTTATGTGATTGTTCGAGCGGTAAGCACACCTAATGCACGACATCCACAGTCCTTACATGTGTTTATGCGTCATTTTCGGTTAACATTGTAATGCATTGTTTTATTTAAGATAACACATAGCTAGTGCAAAAGTTGATTTTAATAGAAATGACACAAATTTGAAAATATTATTGTGACATACAGGATGTTGCAAGATGAATCACGTGTTATCAGTCACGTGGTGTGTTGTCATTGAAATCCCGATGAAGGACACTGGTTGACGCTCCGATAACATGCATAATATATTTTTTAATGCATCCATTTATGAAATTCGTTAAAAAGCATATTTTGTTACATTTAGTTGCGACCATTAGAACATTTTGAAAATGTAACGATCATATGTGGAGGCGGTATGGGGGGAAAATGGCGTTTCTATGTTCAAGTTGGGTGGCAGGCTGGTGGTATCGAAATTGTGTCAATTTTAACGAATACATTTATGTAAACAAGAAAATATTGATAAGACCTTGATCATTAATCAATGAAAGTTCTCTATAATCGTTTTCTACTTTATCTGCGGCAAAATTCGATGCGGGAAGATTTTTCACAGCAAATGAAATTCGCCTGCTCGGTCATTTGGTGCCACCGCCATGATGCTCTTATCTCAACTTAGAGATAGACACATACTTCAGAAAACATTCTCTCTGTGATGCCAAGTGGGTTAAGGTCCACTGATTGGAGATGATATCCACCAGAAATCGCACGTATCGGAATGGCGTAAATGTCAACAGTTTATCGAATATTGATGAATTGAAGCAATAATTATAAAACTCTAATCAAGACTAAATGACAGGACCGTTGTTTCAGGACTGTCATGTGCCATTTTAATGCATAGTTTCGAGTACTCGTTGATTAATTATATATAGTG